TAGAGGTTGGGCACACCCTGGAGTCTTGCAGTGGCAGCACCGCTAAGGTCTCTCTGCTCCATCCCACCACCTTACAGTTAGGAGAAGTGCACCCAAATTCGTATCACTCACCTGGTTGCTGTATTTGGTTGAATCTGTAAGCCTTGCTTCTTAAGAAACCAAGTTCCCAATTAACTGCTGAGAACCTCTGTTTATGAGAATTACCTACTGAGAAATCTCTTGTAAAGGAAAACAGCTAGAAGGGTAAACTATTCTTGGTGGAGACCATGCATGCGGTGAGCTTTTGGCAAGGTGAATCATCCAAGGAAGAAGCTGTCCCAGCTGGAGCCTCTGTGCAGAATTCACCATGCGAGCGCTCAGGGCATTTATCTGCTTGAGTTACTCAGAATTCCTAAACTTGCAGGGGTTTTGTGCTGGAACAGACGAGCAGTTTCTCCAAAGGAGCGCTTATTCAGACAACTCCTCTCCCTGCTACCCTGGCTGCTTCCTCCTGCCCCCCTGTTGGCCCTCGCTTTATCAGGATGCTCCTTTTTCGCCAGGTTGTTTTTCCTCCAGGACAGTTTGACCGCCTGGCTTCGTAGCATCCCTGTGCTGCAGCAAGGTGGCAGGAAAAGACAGGACAGTGGGACTGCTTTCCAGGGAGGGCTTCGCTCTAAGTCTGGGGACTTTTTTTTCTCCCCACCTTGGTGAACAGTTACTCATAGATGAAGTCTCAATTTGGCAATCTTTTCTTCTTAAAAGCAGCCTGTTTTGGGGGTATCTTTCAGCTCCCATGTAAAGGAAGGACGGGCTGCGTTACTCTGTCATTCCTGGGGAGAACAACGTGTTCTTACTGCTTTTCTTTCGTTTGTTTAAGCCGTCCTAAATAATGGCTGGACACTTCCCGCACGTCCACCTCGCCTCCCACAACAACTTGCTATTTTATGCAGTAGCCAAGCTAAAAAAGGAAAGTTACTATCATGCCAAAAATGCAACTTTGATAAAATATGAGGGGATAAATCAGCATAAGCGTGACTGGCTCAGGATCCAAAGAGAATAATGTGGGAAGGATAATTTTACTTTCTTGCCTCTCACGCCTGCCAAACGCCTGGATACAAAGAAGCATTCCTAAATGAATGCACTAAATACCTAAGAAGTGCAAAACAGATTTTTTGCTCTAATGCAAAGAATGCTAGACAGCGAGAGCAGGACTGAAATTATATCCTAAAAGATATCATATCTTCACCCCATAATGCATGGCTTAACAGTGTTAGGTGCATTCAGATCTGTGGTTTTAATTGCTCTAATGTGGAAAGCTGTATCACATTTAAAGGGAGAGGAAATCCTCAGTGCTTTATCCTACACTCCCATCACCTTGAAGGGGATGCTCTTGTGTCCTCTGGCTGTGCCGCACGAGGGTTAAGGGGAATGAAAAACTGCCTTTTGGGCAGTTTCCAAGCCTACAGTGGCCAGGACAGAGCTGAAAAGGATCTTTCTACAGGCTTTATTCTTTATTCTCTATGATAGTCTGTGGTACTTTTATATGATAGTAGTAGTTTCACACTTCCTAAGATATCCAGAATCAATGCTTAAAGCCTGCCGAGCTGAAAAGCAGCCACCAAACAACCCTCCGTGAGTTTATAATGCCCCTTGCAGGACGGAGGAACAGCAACCCCTGCTTCGGGAACAGGAGAGACTTTGTCTGCTACTCCTTCCCCAAAAAGCTTCACGGCTTGGCTGCAAAAAGAGAGGGAGGAAGGAAATGTAGGTCATGCATCAGTCAGTTTTCAGGGATCTCATGTTCCGGTGTCTCCAGCAGAAGATCTGAAAGTGCATTAAATCCAGAGTAGGGTTTGGGGATTGCCAGTATTCAGGTGTGGCTGAGCCAAGAGGATACACCCTCAGGGCTGAAAAGGATGCAAGGTTTCCACAGGGCTGGCATGGGCAGATCCATGCTTTTCTGTCTTTGGAAAAAGCTCACTTTTAAAAAACGTGGTTTTCAGCCTCCTTATCTTACAGCACCCAACAGCAATACCAATTCATAAGATGCCCATGCTGCCCTCTGAGGCTGTTGGCTTCATTGGGAAGTCTGTCTTTTAAATATGACCACTATAAACACTCCAAATTTTAATGGACAGAATATCTTCACAGAAGTTACCCTGATCTTCAGAAACAGTCATAGTTTGACAGAGATTGTTTTCCCTATCTGCAGCGGAAGTGGAGGAATGTGCAGTTTATACTAAAATAACGTGCACTTGTCCTAATCGCAGAGACTTCTGAGCCTCAGCCAAGCCTCTTCACGTCATTACAGCCGACTGCATGCTGTGAAGGCATTATTTTCCTCTTCACACTTTTGATCTTTGCAGAAAGGAGCGTGTGGCATTTCCAGCCCAGATGTTCAGGACATTCCTCCTGGACCTGATGGAGAAGTTTCTCCCTAAATGACTCCTGAGCCTTACGCCCAGACTAGTGATGAGTTCCTTGTGAAGGTAAAAAAATTAAATAAACACTGAAGCATCTCTGTCAAGGTCATCTGAAATCACCGAAAAGAATCATGAATGGGAACAGTTGCTCTGAAATGATGGCAGGCACAACGCATCTCACAGGCACTTTGGAAACCTCTGGATTTGAGTGTTGGGAAGATGTGGGTCCAGTAGGTGCACGGTGGGAACTTTGACTTGCAGCACCAATTGTGTTAAGTGGTGCTTGAAAGAGACTTTGGGAGACAAGAAATACGTCGTCTCGGGAGGCTGTAGCGTGTGGGCCACGCAGGTGATGGGGCAGGCGAGGTTTCGATAGCTCGGCTTTGACGGTGGCTAAGGCCGGTGGAGGCCACGCTGTCCTTAGGGCTCTTCTCTGTGTCGCCCATCTCTCTGCAAGGCCGTGGGCTGCGGAGCTCTGCACCAGCAAGTCCAGGCCCACTGGTCCAATGCAAAGGGGTACTGTGATCCTCACTGAGATTTTAAATTACCAGGTTTCAAATTAAAACTTGAAACATTTTAATCAGATCTGATCACCGCAAAAGCAGAGCACCTTGGCTGGGGGTCCTATGGAAGGCACTGTGGTTTTGCAGTAGCCCCATGCAGTAACCCCATGCAGCCCTCCAGAAAAATTGAATTCCCTGGTGTGAAGGTTTGTGGGCAGGACAGTGAGGAGCTGTGCAGTCTCTGGGGATCCTATGGGAAGGAAAACCACCTGGAGTCTACAGGTCGAATGAGCTGTTTATGGCTCAGAGTCTTAAATGCGGCTCAACTTTCACAGACCTCTCCTTTGCTGGTACTTCATATCTGCAGCTGAGCAGAAGTGGATTCAATACACCAAACTGAATCTAAGTCTGAGGCTAAGGAGCGTGGGCTCAGATTTAGGGCTAGATGAGTTCTCCCCCCAACAAGGCTGATGGCAGCTAGTGCTATATACCCAATATTAACTTTTATTCTCTAATAACGTCTTCCCACTCCCATCTCCCCTTTTTTCCCCACGGTTTCCTCTGTGTCCCTTTCTCTCACCAGTTCGTTTTACTTTGCAGGCTCTGCCAAGCAGGTCTGCAGCCTGCCTTGAGCTGAACTGTTGCATCACCAAAGCCAAGTCCTCAGCAGCAGTAATCCAGTATTGTTGCATCAACTTCACCGTGCTTGGCACAGAGGCACGTGTTTGGTCCTAGGCATCTTGCTTGAAAACTCCTGCAGATCTCTGTGTTGTTCCCTTTTCTGTTCTCCTGAAGGCTCTAGGCTGGGCTGAGGCTGCGTGGTGGTGTTCCTCCTTCTTAACGTAAATGAGGAGTGAAAGGTTTTCTCGCAGAGTCCTGTTGT